TTCAGTTAGATTTTTTTGAGTGTGTGTCTTTTTGAGACAGGGTCTTACTATGCAGTTCAGGCTGGCCTTGAAATCACTTTGTAGCCCAGGTGGGTCTCGAACTTGCACCAATCCTCCTGCCACAGCCTCCTGAGTGCTGAGATTACAGGCATGTGCCACCACACTCAGCAACCCAGCCATTCAGAACTTACCTCAAATTCATCCCCAGCTCCACCTCCTTAGCCCTATGCAGTGTCCCCAAGGCATTATGCAGCAGATTGAAGTGAAAAACAGAACAAACTGGAAACATCATACTGAGAGTCATTTATTTCTTTTGTCATTGCCAAATTAACATAACTTCATTTCTCCTCACTGTCATCCACCAAAAAGTTTCACAATCACATCAACGCCAATGAAAATGTAGAGTGGACACATCTTTTTCTTCACTGGTTTCAATACAGCCCATTCTGGCTGGACATGGGGTGGGAGGCACAACTGTAATTCCAGCTCCTTAGGAGGTTGAGGGAGAAGGATCAAAAGTTGGAAGCCAGTCTGGTGATTCAGCAAGATCTTGTCTCAAAATAATGAATGAATGAATGAAATAAAAAGAGGGCTTGGGATGTTGCCACTGATAGATAGTTGAGCTAGCATGCATGAGGCCCTGGGTTCGAGCCTTAGTAGTAGGGATTGAAAAGCCCGTAAGTATCCTGGCTGTATCTTGTTTGGGTTCCAATGTGCCTTGTTCTCAAGGGGTCTTCATGAAAGCACTCATGTTAGAGCTATTTTAAGGAGCAGTGAGGATTAAATGCTGGCAACAGCCTTTCAGAATTGGAAGCTGAAGGTTTAGCTAGCTGGAGGTTTAGCTCAGCGGCACAGCGCCTGACCAGCAAGCGCAAGGTCGTGAGTTTGATCTGGGGGGGGGGGGCAGTTATTGGGGCTGGGGATTTAGCTCAGCGGCATAGCGCCTGCCTGGCAAGCGCAAGGTCATGAGTTTGATTCCCAGTACCGGAAAAACAAACAAACAACAACAAGAAAACAATTGGAAAGATACAATTTGGCACATGGAGGTTATGTTTCACCTGCAAAATAAGACTATTTATATCAAAGGGGGAAGAAAACTTAGAAACCCAATGGGGCCGCTCTGATCACAGCTCTCCAGAAGCCACCCCTGCAGGGAAAGAGCCTGAAAAGCATCATCAGGGGTCAGGAGGTACGGAGGAGGTTTTCTTTCCAGCCACTTTTACTGAAATCCTAAATTGGCATGTGCAGCTCTTGCAGTGTTCACAGCTTGTTACCTCTTTGACAGCAGAGGTGGAGGTTTATCTAGAGCTGGAGAGAAAACCTCTTCACCTGTACCTCCTGCCTATCTGGTAATGCTTCGTGGGCTCTTCCCCGTGCCATCTTTTAATCTCTAACCATGCATTCCAGGAGGTTTTGGGCTTGTGGCACCAAAAGTCCCTAATCTCTGCATATACATCTTGTACAATTAAGTGTGGCTTTGTTGTCATGTTTCTGAGTTTTCTTAATTATCAATCAATTAGGGTTCTATATATTCTGTGTGTGTGTGTGTTTATTTTGTCTTTTTGAGACAGGATTCTTTTCTTTAGCCACCTGAGCTGTCCTTCTCTTTTGCCTGGTGCAATGTTTCCTTTTCCTTGCTGTGTCCTCTTTTGTGGCAGAGCTATTCCTTGCTGCTGGCAGCTGCTGCTTCCAGTCTGGCTAGGTCTTTCCCTGCTGTAAGACCTGTGCTTTAGAGACTAAAGTTTGGTTTTTAACTTAGAGGCCAAATCTATACTCTTTTGTTCTATTTCCCAGTGCTCTAGAAACACTCCTTCTACAGATGTTCCTGTCGCCTACTACAGTGCTCATCATTTTTGAGCCAGGTACTGTAAATGGATGTCTGCCTCTTTCCTTCCTTGTTTAGGATTCCTGTGTTAGTCTGTTTTCATCAGTGGAACAGACTGCCTGACATGCCTGGAGTGGTAATGCACACCTGTAATCCCGGCACTCAGGAGGCTGAGGCAGGAGGGTTGATGTGAGTTCGAGGTCAGCCTAGGCTACACTGTGAGATTCTGTCTCAAAAAACAAAAAGACATGGGTCTAGTTTTAGTCTCTGGCATATGGAAAGCCAGTTTTTCCAGCACCATTTATTAAAGAGGCCATCTTTCTTCTAGTGAACACATTTGGCCCTTTTGTCAAAGATAAGGTAGCTGAGTGTGTTTGTAGTTGTGTCTGCATCTTCTAATCTGTTCCATTGACCCTCAAGTCTGTTTTGGTCAGTACCATGCAGATTTTATCATAGTAGCTTTGTAGTATAATTTCAAGTCAGGGATTGTGATGCCTCCTGTCTTTCCTTTGTTGCCCAGAATTGATCTTGCTATTCTAGGCCTCTTCTGGTTCCAGATGAATTTTAGGAATGTTTTCCCTAGATCTGTGAGGTATACTAATGGTATTTTAATTGGAATTGCATTGAATCTGAACAACTAATTTGAAGACAACAATATGCAATATAACAACCATTGGTGAATTCCTACCATCTTGTTTAGTGAAGCTCTATATAGTTTCTAATGTTTTTATTATTATGGTTTTTTATTCTTTTTAATGGTTTGATCACTCTTGCATTCTTACATCTGGAATCAGCAACTTTGTTGAAGGTAACAATATGTAATATAACAACCACTGTTAATTCCTATCATTCTGTTGTGAAACCTTGAATCATTTTTATTTTTTTGCTTTGTTTTGTTTTTGTCTATGTTGTTCTTTTGTTACTTTTTAAAAAAATTCTCTTTAAAATTAAAAAAATGCATGACATATGCAGCTTAGAGGACAAAAGGTTGATTTGGACTCATGGCTTTAGAAGTAGCCATGAGTTGGTAGTCCATGGTTGGTTGGCTCCAAGGCAGAAACATCACAGCAAAAGGTGTAGTGGAGAAAATCTTCTCACTCTATGGCAGCCAGGGAGAAGAGGAAAGGAGCCAGAGAGAAGGGTTGGAGATAAGAATATACCATTCCAAGGTACACTGGCACTGACCTGCTTTCTCCAAACAGGCCCTGGTTTCTAACAGTACATTCAGCTATGAGCTCATTGGTGGATTAATCCACAGATGAAGCTGGTGCCCCCATCATCCACTCACCTTCCCAGAACTACACTGGAATCCACATGCCTTGTAGGAGCACTGTGCTCTAAAACAAATGGGCTTTAGGTTTTGGGTTGGGTTGCCACTGGCTGCTCCTCTAATTCCTTATGAGACAGGTAGGGACCATCACCGTGGGACAAAAGGTTGGGATGACAAAATAAACCCCTGGGGCCAATAACCTGTTTGTGGCAGGGCATGTTGTTTCTACACCTTTGTTTTCTTTTAACAGAGCCATCCTGTGACTCTAGTATTATGACAACAGCTGCTGACTTACTGTGTCAAAAACTTGAAGGTTGCTTTTGTTAAAACACTGATGATGGGCCCAAACACCCAGATGAGCAACTGGACTGGGATAAGAAATCTGGCATCTGTCTATCCCCTCTGCTGTATTAATCCTTTGGTTAGATTCTAGTCAGCTCTGTATGATGACATGTTTCACTTTAAAATGTTTTGTCCTAGAATATAAAACAGGGTTAATATGGCCCACTGCCTACTGGAGCTGAGATGTGTTTTTGTCCTTGCTTTGCCCTCACAGGCAGTTTAAATCCTATAGAGAGGCTTTCTCAATCCTTGTCATGGTCCAGGAAGTTTATATTTGCAATCCTATGGAAAAGTTACAGGAATTCTAATAAGTTAATTCCAATCTACCACTTCCAGCACAACCCATGGTGAGAATAAAGACACTAAGGCATATTTGTAGTTATGGGGAGCTAAGGGGTCCTAAGTCCAGCTAGGATAATGGCTAACCAGAACCTGGGTTTTATTAATTTGTGAAGAAAGGAGTGGCTTGAAGATGAGTGACTGTGAGAGTGGCGGGAAGTACAGGAATGCTCTGAGCTGGGCTAGGGAGGAGGCCTGAAAGCACCTCTGCAATACACAGAGAGGATATGCAGAAAGAGTAATCTGTATTATACCACTGAGGTAGTATCTAATGTTTTGGGGTTGGTGCTTCAGCACTGATGTATAATCTTTTGTGCCCTGGGAAGCCTTAGCCTCTTATCTCGAGGCTGCTCACAGCATGGAGCAAGGCTCTCCATCCTGCCTGGCTCAGAGGGTGGGGACCAATTTGCATTGCTTAGAGCTAATTGAAGAGGTAAGGAAAAGTCCTAGCCAGCTCTGTACAAATCAATACATGGAAATAGGGCCATGTTTAGCCAAAATGGAGGTAACTGCTCTGCTTTCAAGGAGAGTCATCCAGGTGGTCCTCCACAAAGTCCTTTATCCCTAGCATGGGGCTCAGAACAACAAGCCCAGGGTGTCTGGCACAGGATGATGGCATCAGCTACAAATTCAACAGACCCCAGGCCAAAGATGATCGTGGCTACCTGGTGTTCCAGGTCTGTCATAAGAAACGTTTTTGGGAATCATGCCCCTGGCCAATATTAGCATGCTTTAGCTCATCCCACACCCAAATCAAGAAAAACCTCCTGCACTCTTTGCTTTGAGGGTAGTTTGGTCCCTCAATCTACCATGCCAACTCCCTTCAGCCAGAAGGGCCAATTCTGGGAAGGGCTGTGATCCCAATAAAACTTTGTCACTTGAAAGTAGGTTTGCCTGCAGTGCTCAGCCTGCTCTGGTCTCCAGTATCTACGTCAAGCGATGCCAGATCCAGCATCACTTATATGAGTCCACAAGACCAGCTCATTATTCCTCCTCTGATCCTTCCCTACTCTAAGACTTGGCTAGGTCTCAGGCAGTTCAAAGCCAGGCTGCCACCACTGCCATCGGGAAGCCTGGATCCTATGAGGAATCAAGATTCACACTCATTTACCATCATTTCTAGAATCACAAGCTCCTCTTCAAGTCAGATGCAACTGGGAACCTCTCCTCACACCATGCACACTGGCACAGGTACTGCAGAATTCAAGAGGTCAGAGAGACCAACAGGGAAACAGGAGGATTTTATTCTAGGATTTTAGGTGCACACTGGCTCAGCTGGCACTTTTGTGTGTTCAAAATGGCTGAGCAGCTGGGGATTTAGCTCAGCGGCACAGTGCCTGCCTGGCAAGTGCAAGGTCATGAGTTCAATTCCCTGTACCGGAAAAAAAAAAAAAGTAATAGTTCAAAATGGCTGAGCATCAGACAAAGGAAAGGCTCCAGATTTTATAAATTTGGGCAAGGAGGCTAGCACAAAAAGAGACAAAGACAGTTATTTACTCAGTGACAGTTCTCAGATCAGCCTTGAAAGTAAACAGTTACAGGGCAGTCAAGGGTGTCATAAGATCTTATTCACAGAAACACAGTTGTCTACCTTAGCTGTATTTCTTGAGAGAAAACAGTTTCTAAGATGTCACAGGTCTCCATCTACAGGAATATAATTGTCTACTTAATCAGTACTACAGCAGAGGTTAGCTTTGAAGGAAAGCAGATTTCTGAGGAACCTGGACATCACAGGACTCTGTACCAATTTTGTTATTTTCCTTATCTGTAACAGGGGTCAGAAGTTGTGGGGAAAGGGTAATCTTGAAGCATAACTGTGAAACTGGAGAAACTGCTTAACAAAATCTGATTCTTCTTCCAAGTTCTGCTTCATAGGTACACACATTTCTCATGTAACTTCTGGAACAAAAGTAAGGTTTATAGATCAACAAGTGTACCACAGCATAATTACCATCATTCTTTTACTAAATATTGAGGTGGGGGGGGAAAACAAAATTAGAAAGGTTTATGAATCACATTTGGTTGATGGGTTTATGCCCTAGATGTTTCTGGACTGTGACTTTGGGTCACTTCATTTGCCAAAAATGACAACATCTGAAACACTAGGGTCGGAAAGAGGGGAGAGGTAAAGGTGAATGAGAAGAACACAAAGAAGTGTAGCCAAAGGGAAGAAATAAAGACACAGAAAATGGGGATGTGGAAGAAGCCTGAATAGAGACTCCAGCAAATTCAAAGCAAGTCAAAGGAGATAGTTAAAAGAAACCACAGGCACGGAAGACTGGCAGGCTGCAGGATTCCCATGCACTCTGAGCATCTCACACAAGTCTGGCATGGTCTGCTCACCAATACCAGCAGGAAAGGGGACTCCATGTACAGCGGGGTCCAGGCTGATGATACGAGGTGGAGAGCCTTGGCCATGTAGGTGGCCAGTGAGACTCTGCAGATACAGGAGGAGAAGGCTGGAGGGAGACAAGAAGGGATGAGAAGGGGACCACAGTGATTTCCTTTATATCAACGGTGCCTGAAGACTTCAGCACTATAGCCTTCCACCCGCAACGCTCAACTTTCAGGTACTTCAAATGCTGTTTTCTTCACTCCTGGAACAGCCTCTGCTACTCTAGACCCGACACCTATCCACTTTCAATGTTCGAATAAAGACTCTGTCTCCACTAAAAGATTTCTAAACATTCCACTAAAACTTCATTTGCCCAAGACTTACAGGGTAGACACCCAAGCAATAATTCTTTGGCAACTGTTCGCCAAAACCTATGTGTTAGTGTTGTCTTGATGTCTACAAGTACTCATTAGCCCGGCTTCCACGCAGGGGCTTTTAAATTAGAGAGACAATTTCAGTAGCCTGGGGTAAACTGTACCAAGCGCATGCTAGGTGGGCGCAGCAGACGACCTCCACTGGCGCAGGCGAGGCTCCGAGGTCTTACAGAGGAAAGAACTGGAGTTGGTAAGTCCCACTAAAGCACAGGCCTGGACCCTGCGAACCTAGGAACACTGCCTCGCTTTCTCCTTAGCCTTACGCCCGCGACGGCCAACCTACTGTACTGTATCATGTTTTTTTTTAAATTAGATTTTCTTGGTACATTTCTGATATACATAACGATCACATTCATCATAGAGCATGTGTACTTATACAGGACATAACTTGGGTCTTTTTCCCCATTCATCTACCCTCCTTTCAATCCCTCCTTCCCTCCCCATTTACAAAGCTTTGTTTCCTTCTTTTCTCATTTTTTTTTTTTTTACTTTTCCCTTTTTTCCTTCCCCCGCTGCACTTCTTATCATCTTAACCCCCACCGCGTCCCCTGAAAAAGACGAGGCTTACTTGGCTCGCGTTATTCCCCACACCAGCAACCTCGCAGGGCCCAGCATCCGCTTAAGCGAGAGATTCCACGGGCGTGGCTGGCGCCGCCATCTTGGCCCCGCCGGTCATAGAGAGCCCGCCGGCTAGAGAGCCTCGCCTCCGTCGGCCCGGAGACGGCGGCTGGAATCCTAGCAACCCGGGGGCGAGGACGCGGAGCGCGGTCAGAGGGCGACCTCTGTGAGTCTGAACGCGCCCCGGGCTGACTGGTGAGCCTGGCCTCGAAGTGGGGCACCGGCGGATAGCCAGTAAGAGGGCACTGACCGTCGGAGGCTAGGACCTGCGAGGGACAAAGCCGTGGTCGTCTGGAGGGCGAGACGAGATGGGATCCCCGGCGCGGCGACCCGGCAGATCCCTGACGCCGAGCAGGCGAGCTGTCATCCTCCCGAGAGAGTTGAGGGGAGCCGCTCGGAGGCCGGCCGCTAGGGCTTCTTCGCCAGCTGAGGCGATTAAACAGCTGAGGGCTGCACCGAGCAGCCGCGGGGCGGCGTGCGGCCTCCGGAGCCCCTGCGCCCCGAGGAAGCGCGCGGACCACGGGGTGGCGCCCGGGCGGGAAGTCCCCGCGACCGCGCGCTGTGCCCGCGAGCGGCCGACCCCTGCCACCAGCGCGTGCTCCACGGTCGTCACCGTGTGTGACCTACAGAGTTCGGCTAGTGAGGGCCCCCATCCCGAGAGCCTGTGAGTCCTGAGGGCGCGCCCGACTCCCCCGAGGGGCTCTGGGAAACGCGGCGAAGGTGCTCGAGGAGCCCGGGAGTCTTCCTGCACCCGGCCGCCCAGCCTTTCCGCGGCCCTCGGGAGCCGCTGCAGCAGAATCCGGGAGTCATAAACACCGAGCTTCACACCCAGACGGCCACTTGTAACCGTTTATGTCGTGCTCAAGTCACTTGAAGGCTCTGGGCCGGCTTTCTCCTTTGGAAAACTGAGATCATACCTCGGTTGTAGGGCTAGCACTGTGTAGGAATAGCACGTTCCCCATCGTTACACCTAGCTCTTTTCTTGGTCTGGCACAGTGCCTGCAATATAATGTGTTCTTGAAAAGATATTTTCTATGAATAGAGGACACTTGTGCCTTCTTAAAATTATTTCTTACATTGTGATTAAGAACCGATAAGGGAATATCTCCTATGCTCTTCCTTCAGGTTTGCTGAGACCGGCACAAGGTTCTCTCCATCATCGTATCTCATACTTCTCGATCAATGCTTGCCGCCAGAGAAACTAACGAAGAGGGAGAAGAGGCTAAAAGGAAAGATTGTGGTGGCCCTGAGGAAGCTGAACAACCAAATCCAAGAAGCTCAGATGAGGCAGGACTGGCTGCTGGAAGAGAACAAGCAGCTGCAGAAGGAAAAGCTCCTCGTGGAGGCTGAGAGCAAATCCATTCTGGACTATCTGACTGAAAGCAGTAAGCACCGGGAGAGGAAGTGTGAGGAGCTGTGGAAAGATTATTTCCAACAATACCATGAGCTGGAGCAGAGGAAACAAGAATTAGCCTCCAGATATGAAAAAGAAACCTCAGACCTGAACGTACAGCTCTTGCGGGGGGAAAAAGTCCAATACAAATTGGAACAGCGGTTGCAGGCTCTGAAGAATATTGCCGCCATCAAGGAGAGACAGGACAGGAGAATACAGAGCTTGCAGGAGCAGATAGAGAGGATCCCAGCCGAGACGCACGTGAAGGACCGGGAAGCACACTTCCAGTTCCTCCAGCAAAGAGCCTTCCTGGAGCAAAAAATCAAAGAGCTGGACCTGGTGCGGGAGCTGTTGCGGGAGAGAAAAAGGGGGGAGCTTGGTGGGAAAGCCCAGGCCTTGGAGTACATAGCACAGAAGTCTCATTTTGAATTCTGCCGTGGCTTCTACAGAGAAAATCAGCAATTGAGGAGAAAATTAAAGCCACTACTTCAGGAAGCCCAGAAATTGGAAGCTACTCAAACTTGGTTAGAAAACCAGAAGCAGCAGCTGAAGCAGAGACAGTGGTACCAAGAAACCATCATTAGGGGGAGGCGACGACTGCAATCCAGGCAGGACCAGAGCCCAAAGCAACAGGGTGCTCCAAAGAACACAGTGCACCCTCCCCTGGACACCAGTCAACATCCAAGGGGATCCCGAAAATAACAGATGAAATAAGAACTGGATCAAGTATTCCGACGCACTAGAAATCCCTCTAAGGAATTAGACTGAGTACTCTTAGGGTAAAATATTTTTGAGTCTGTGCCATCTATTGCTCTAGCAGTACCTGAAGTTCTAAGAGGACAAATTACCTAGTTATACCAAGTATTATGTAGTACTACTGGGGGACTTCGTTATCCTTACGTGTATACTCTATCATACACAAAGGACCTTTTGTCATTTGTATGATCATATATTTATGCCCATTTAATAGAACTGAGAATTGTTTTATTGCTTTATTGATTCAAGTTGTACTTTTTGTATTTTATGGCAGATGGAAGCTAGACCAGTGATTTACTGGAATTTGAATCTTGGTACACTGAGTATATTTTGATATTTTAACATTGCTCCTCTATGGATAGAATCAACCATGTTTTCCAGAAGAGGTTAGTGATGAAAAACTTCACAGTAAACTTTATGAACTGTCAGTCTTATTTCTAGGTAAAATGAATTTATTGAAAACTGGATTTTAAAAAACTGGATTAAAAAGCCTTTCTTTCCATGTGCCTTTTACTCTTAGCTTTAATATTTTTTTGCCACATATGTGGTTCCTTTGTGTTATTAAGCAATGTTTCATTATTAAAAAATAAAAGCCTATTTATGGTTATAATTTATCCATTGATTTTATTACTATTTCAATATGCTGAATTCTCTACCTTCTCATTCTCTAATTTACCACTCCTGTCTATAGTACTTTTGAAATAATATAAGTACTTTTACTGCAGAAGTTTAGGGTTTTCAATAGCATGCAGTTAGTGTTTACTGAATACCATCATTTGTGAACTGAAAACAGAAAGAACTAGAAAGGACTGGTATCCAATATGGCTAGGAAACCCCAAGAACTAAAGCTCAGGCTGCTAGTGGTCCATAAGTAGCAAGGCACTTGGATTCTTACTATTTCACTGTTCACTGCCCCCCCCCCTTCTCAATATCTAGTGGAGGAATGGATCACTTCCTTCTGGTCTCAGTGTATTTTCATTTGTTACCATCCTAGACAATGGACCGTATATGTTGCTCCTGGCTGTGCTTTTCAGTGAGCCCAAGAACAGAAAGTGGCATGTGGCTAAAGTGTAGTTGTAGAAAGATGAGAAAATATGGGTAAGGGAGGGGAAGATAGAGCTAGTAACAGAGAGGACAGTAGGACAGACAGATACAAAAAGAAGCTATGGTGTTGGCTCAGCATCTGGCCGTGGTGGCATCATTTACTCAAGTGTAAGAGTTGGGTTTGGTGGCATTCACGTAGACTCCTAGCACTCTCGGGCTGAGGCAGGAAAATGGTGAATCTGACAACAGCTTTGGCAGTACATTTTCTTTAAAAATTAAGGGGCCTAGGGCCAGGGAGATAGCCCAGTGCCTGTCTGGTAAGCCCAAGGTCCTGAGTTTGATTTCCAGTACCAAAAACAGAAAACCAACAAAAAATTAAGGGGCCTGGTTGGGGAGGTTAAGAAGTCACAAGAGGGTGAGGCAACTTCAAAATTTAAGGTAAAGCAAAAGTAACATTTTTTAAACCATTCCCTTTTAAGAAGACAGGCAGATTATTTTATTCCTTTTGGTATGACTTGTTTCTAAGAACTATTTCAGATAACAAGAAGACATGATACAATTCACTATCTACCTCAAGAAACAATTAATACAGTTAGTTGATTTCCTTCTGGATCCTAGAAGTACTACCCAAAATTTGGGGTTTATCATTCCCGTGAATGTTTTCATAATACAGAGATATCGATGTGGACACATATGTACATAGAGATACCTGGAAAAGCATTACTTATATACATGGTAAACTTTATATAAATGGGATACTTAATGTAACTTGCTTTTCCTATTTTTGTATTAACATGTAGTGAAAACCAGAAGCCCTCATTAGTTTTATAACTTGTATTCTGCTCTGAGTTTATTACAATCAGATCCCTCTTTTAGATGTCCACTATAAGTTTACTCTTCAATGGAATTGTGGGAGAATGGTTGACTTTGCTTATTTTAAAAAGCCACTTGTTCCTTGCTGCCATCAATCCCTGTGATACCTTGGGGATCTCTTCCTGTCTGATTTGACATTCTGTCCTCTGGCTGCTGTCCTAGGTCCTAGGAAAGACTACAATGGTGTCGCTGGTTCCATTCTCAGCCTCAGGTTCTTGGGGTCTGTAACTCTCTCCCTAGTCACTGCAGCATTGTCTCCAAGAGTTCACTTCCTTAAAGAGGCATAGCAGCTCCTGAGAGCACTGCTAGTCTTTCTAGTGAGACAGGGTTCTTTTGACTCCACCAGTTCTTTACGTGAAATCACTCAAGATGCTCAGAGAAACTGTCACACAAGTTTTATCTACTTTGGGTTTCTTTCTATTTAAAATTGTAATAATATATACATAAAATTTACCATTTAATCATTTTTAGGGGGACAGCATTAAGTACATTCAGTGCACCCATCACCACTGTCCAGATGCTTTCATCACTCCCAAGGGAAATTCTGTTCCATCCGATGGAACTCCCACCTTCCCCTTCCCAGCACCCCTCTTCCACTTTCAATCTGACTACTTAGGTACTTTATATAATTGGGATCATTTACTGTCCTTTTGTGTCTTACTTGGTATGCCTTCAAGGTTGATCCATGTAGCAGGTCAGAATTGTCTTCCCTAAGGCTGCATATTCTACTGCACATATATGCACTTTACCCATTCATCTGTCAGTGAACATTAGGCTTCCTTCCACCCTAACACTCTTATGAATGACATTATGAACACGGGTGTATAGATGTTTTGAGTTCCTCTTTTCACTTCTTGGGGCACATACCCAAGAGGGCCATGGCTGGACCTTATGGGAAATGTTTAATTTTTCAAGGACCAACCGCACTGTTACTGCAGCTGCTCTGTTTTACCTTCGCACCAGCAGCATGTGAGTTCATCTCTCCGCATCTTTGATAACACTGCTGTCTCTGCCATGTCCATCACTTTTGGAAAAGTATCAAGTCTTTCACCCTTGTCCTTTAAATTTGTACATTTGAAGTCATTTTTATCAGGTGATTTGCAAATATTTCCCACCTTTCTATAGCTAGCCTTTTCACTCTACTTATTGATATCTTTGATACACAAAAATGTAAGGCCAGTTTATAACAATCCTTCCTTTTGCAGCCACTTTTTGCATCATATTCTAGAAATAATTTTCAGATCCAATTACAAAATTCCTTGGAGAGTTTTATAAACTCTTTAGCATGTGGACATCAAGTTTTCCCAACCCCCTTTGTTGAGCATTGTCCTTTTCCCACTGACTGATGCTGGTGCTCACATTGAAAATCATTTGATCGCACATGCAGGCTTATTTCTGGATTATTCTATTGTATTGGTTTGATGTATCTGTCCTTACGCCAGTACCACAATACTTTTATTATAGTTTTTTTTTTTTCTTTTCTGGTACCAGGAACCAAACTCACGACCTTGAGCTTGCCAGGCAGGCACTGTGCCGCTGAGCTAAATCCCCAGCCCTTATTATAGTTTTTGTTTGTTTGTTGACAGGGTCTCACTATGTAGTCCAGACTGGCCTTGAACTGGCTTGTGTAGCTCAGGCTGGCCTCAAACTCCTGGTGATGCTCTTGCCCTCAGCCTCCTCAGTGCTGGGATTATAGGCACATGCTATCATGCCCAGCCTCTTTTTCTTTGTTTGAAACAGTCTCACTATGTAATTCAGGCTGGTCTCAAATTGCAGTAATCCTCCTGCCTCAGTCTCCCAAGTACTGGGATTACAAGCATTCACTATCATGCCTGGCTCCTTACTTTTGAAAGATACACATTTGGTTGCTAATGAGTTCTTGAACCCCCTTTGAGTGTGTACTAAAGAGATGAACACAGCCATGACCCAAGGACAGTTGTGCAATCAGGCACAGGGGCCAGGGGCAATGGGAAGGCAAGCCATGCACAGGTGTCTGGTTCCTTAGAAAAGAAAAGGCACAACTGCTAGAGTAAAACAGTATGCCTTTATTCAACATGAGTCAGTAAGATACAGTTTGTCCATGTGCAGAAACACTGTACATTCAACTCTGAAGAAGGTAGTTTCTATACGAACCATAAAAGGAAGAGTCTAAAAGTGAGCAGAATAAAGATAGTGAGGAGCTAAAAGACAGAGTTTTATCTGTCAAAGTGCTAAGGCCTATCTGCACAAAGATCTTAAGGTGAACAAGACCAATATATGGTCGTTTCTTCCACTCTTGTTGTTCTTGGTGCTGGTGAAAAGTGAGTTACAGAATTAAGAGGAATTTTGAAAAAAAAACAGGCCAATGCACTTATGGATAGGTTTTCATTTCTAGAGTTTTGTCATGTACTTTGCATCTTTCACAGATTCTAGAAATTGAATTCTTTGCTCTTTAATCAGTAATTTATTATGAGAATAAACTATTATGTTCTTCCCAACCCAGAACCTATTTCCTCAAATATGAGACTCTGGATTTCAATTTAAAACATGTGCAAAGTAATTACATACAGGTTCAGCTGGGGCCACTACTGAAGTCACCAAATGGTTGGTTGCTGCCTGAAAACCTAACATGAAAAAGAATTGCTGACTTCATTTCCAAACTCTAGGTATCTGAAAACGTGAAACTCTGGCTTTCTTGAAAGAATTTACCCAAGACAGGTAAAAATTTACATGCGATACTTTCCATAGGAAGTACACGGGCTGTGTGTAAAAGCCAGGGGCAAAAGCTGCCATAGTTCCATACAAAACCACGAAATGGCTAACGTCAAACTTCATGTTATACTCATGGCAATTCACCAGGTTAGCGAAACCCAAAACTTTAAAAAATAAGTTACTTAATTCAAAATTTTCTACACCTCAGGTTTATCTTCTCAAGACATCCTCCAGTTAAGATGAAAATCAAGGACGCACTCCCTACCCCGCCTCTTTTGGGAGGAGGAGGAAAAACTAAGTTGCTCTTCAGGAGAACCCACTTTTTAGTCACAGCCCATCTTCACAGCTGCTCATCTCTACACTTTTTCAGGTCGTCTCTGTCCTTCTTGTTGGTAAGAACCTTTATAAGGTTCCCTTTTTAGGTTAAGGCTGAAAGCTACTTTAAAGTACACAGTATTCATTCCTTGAATTAACGAAAATGAAAGAAACCTAACCTTCAACAGTCACCAAGTATTAGGACGACAGAGGATATTTTTGGACAGGGTTAAGACTACATTACATAGTGGAGTACATCTAACATCTCTCTCACTGAAAGGTGAATATAGTTATCTTGGCATACAGAAACTGAATTGCAAAGCCAATAATCTAGGTTAAAGACAAGTGGGAAGGAAAATTCAAGACTAAGCACTGACAAAATACAACTATTTATCCTCTTAAAACTTTCCTATCCCAAAAATCCTAAAGAAAGAATTAGGATTTTGTCACTAAAATGAAAATGTACAGGGAAGTAATGGCAAACCTTTCAGAGTTTGCAGTGATATAACAGCCTGTTGCAGCAAGTGTGCCATAGGTTCGCCACCACTGGTCTAGGATAATGCTGAAGCCCTTTTCAGTTCAAGTCTTCTGACTTATAAAAGAGGAAAAAAAAAAAGCCAATTCTACACTGTAAGAGAAAACCAAGAGCACCAATTTTATCCATTATGAAGAAAACAACACTATACAACTC